TGCAGTCGCAGATGAAACACAAATCACAGTAAGAAAAAAGCCAATCTACTTTGAGCTCGATTATAAAGGCGAAAACATTGCAGCGATGATTAACAGAAGGCTGAGTACATCACTAGCCATAGCCTCTCCTGCAGCTAAGCTCGTCCCTGTCTGTCAAACAACTTGCTTTTTGGTGGACGTCGTAAAGTCGTTCAAAATTATCAATAAACAAAAGAGCTCAATTCTCCTCAATTTTGCTGAAGCTGTTTCCATCAAGCGCTTGAAACTTGATTTATGCGTCCAGAAAGAAGCAGTTATCAGTCTTTCTTTGCCAACGCTGGTAACTGGATATTTTTCATCTCTCTTTCATCTGAATGTGAAATGCTGGAAAGTTTCCATTGTGTATGATTATTATTGTTCGGAATAGTGTTTAATATTGCATATATATATATGTATATATTATTACTGTATGCGTATATTGATCGATTGATTTCTGTTTAAAATGAACTCTGTGTAAGTATGTTAAATTGTTATTGTAGATACATTTAATAATATTTTTGCCCTGTAAGCAGCTGACGAGAAGGCAACGAAATGAAATATGGTACCATTTTATTCTGCTAAATCTGTAGTTGTTGCTTTGTTTAAATTCATTAAAGATGCTTAAATTATAATAATGATAATGATAAAGATATAGTAGCAAGTAGAATATCAAATAAAATTAAGGAAATTTCCACAACAAATCTAATCCTTACAAACCAACCATAGAAAATTAATCTGATACTCGCTAGTGACTTGCTACATGACAGAGTTTCCTGGAGTCAGTTCTAGTGAGAAGTTGTGACCAGTGAGGTGCATCCAGGTGTCAACTATGAGGATGGATTTCCCACCGACGACATTAGTTGGTGCCAGTTGCGCTAAATCACGAATTGGTAGAAGTTAGAATTCATTGGCCGGTCACTGAATTGGATCCTTGTAGCTGATTGTCATACGAGCTAGCTTGCCTTGTAACCGGAAGGTCCTGGGTTCGAACATTGGGAAATGGGTGGGTGTGTACTGGAGTTGATTCCCAAACTAGGATGAAACAGCTGTCCAGTACTCGAGTGTTAGTTTTCAATGCTTCTCTAACTGATATCAGTCCGTGGCCAACTCGTAAAAACAAATCGAGGATCATTCGAGCTTAGAAAGCCGAGGTAAAGAGAATTTTCGAACTAGCTTCTTTTGGACACATAAATTAATGTGGATTCCAACCACCAGTCTCAGCAATATTTGCCAAACGAACTCTTAAGGCGAAATTAAGATTTTGATTGGACACTAGTAACTAGTGTGACGTGTCTAGTCGTATTTTTTGTGCAAACTGAATTCTATCAGTCAGGTTTGCAATGTGGCCACCATTCTAGGTACCTCAGCATCATGGTACTTATTGATTTGATGATATTAGATAGTTGGAGGCAATCGGCAGGAACCCTTGGACCTAGGTTTCGTGCTAGTTTGCACTCGTCACAAAATCAGTATGCACCGTGAAGGCAAACTACGTAGAACGGTGGCGACGTTGCAAACCTGACAGCTAGAATTCAGTCTGAACCAAAGAAAGGACTGGAAACAACACACTAGTTACTAGTGTCCAATCACAATAACAATACACTGATTATCAGAAAAATTAAAAGAAATATTAACTCAGAATTCCTGAATTTATAAGCCCAAAAGAAGTCCAGGGAAATAATAGTGGATGGCTTGATCTGTTTCTTCTGCAAACAGAGCATCGATTGGCGTAGGCAGATAGCAACAGCCCCTGATGTTAGGGGTCTTCTATACCTGGGATGCTTTCGGCAATTTGTTCGGTACTCGAAAGATGATGGAGAAGGGCTTTTCAATATTAGCTTTGTGGCCTGTTGCTTTGGATCAGGTGGTCTAATATCGAACATTTGATGATGGTTTTTACTACACCCTCACTCAGCCACACTGGTAGATGTTCCTGAGTGAGCACGAAAAATCAAGTTCCTAGAGCAACGGTTATTATAACTCGCTCCACTACAAGCGCAGTTGAATTGGTGGATATAATTAGAAGTGGCTAGTTTGTCTAGATACTTCATCATTCAGTCGAGGAATCAACATCTGTCGTGTAGAAAACATGACTGTTAGTTCGACAGCATTAAAGGTTCTTTGAATAGATTTTCTTAACTTCTTGTTATTATTTGTCTAGTTATATGGCCAATGAATTGCTGTTGTATGTATAAAGACTTCTTGCTTACGGATGGCGAATAGTCCTTTTCAGGTTTTAAGTCAAATGTTTCCTGATGAATTTGTCGACCATGATCAGTTCGATGTTAGACCACCTGGTGCGAACCGGCCACAATGTCAGCACTGACGAATCCCTCTCTATCAACATCTATCGGCTGCCAAATAAATTGCCAAAAATATCCAGGTACCACATACTCCAGACAGGAGAGGCTATCACGATTCAAATGAAACAACCAGTGCTTTGTGTGCAAAACAAACAACTTCAGTCACTATTACTGCCCTGGTCAGCCTTGAATAGAAACTATAAACACATAAATTAGTATTACTACTATCTCTCCTAATTTTTCTGAAATTCAGTGTATTGTTATTTTGATATTATCGAATTGTGATTACTATTATTATTATTATTACTTTCAAGTATTGGTTTTGTAGGGAATTTTGTTTGATTGCATGAAGGATTTCATAATGAGCTGACATCAGTTAGAGAACCACTGGAAAACCTGGGTTTCATACTACATTTCATAGCATTTCATACTATTGTCATCATTATTATTTCATGTATTCGCATCTTTGATTCAATTTCCTCACTAGATTTAATTTCTTAAATCAGCCCATATATATATATCCGATTGTACAGATTGATAATAAATACGTTGAAGAGAGATTTTTCGTTGAATATAGTGTTCTTAAAATGACAACCTTCTATTATTATAATAATTTTTCCTTGGGGCTCCAACACACATCTCCAGGCTTCAACAACACATCTCCACTTTGTTTTATTCTCTGCCTTCCCATTCACCTGGCTACACCGTTGCACATCATCTCTGATGTCCTCCTCTCACGATCTCCTCCATGTCACCGTGGCACTGACGATCCACTCATTGCTTACCATTTGGATTCCACTCGAGCGATGGCCTGCGTTGCCCGCAATGTCATTCGACAGTCTCCTCGATGTATCCTCGATCCATCTCCATTTTCTCCTACATATCTGCTGAGTGATCGGCTCTTAACCGGTTTGTTCACAACCACAGTTACTTGTTACTTATTCCTTCTGGCCATTTTATCTTAAGTATGGAACCATTGAAGTGAGTAGCTGTTGGGAAAAGTCTGAAGATGACACGCAGTGCAAGTTTCTGTCTGACTCCTATAGAAGAAGCAACTTGACATTGGTGTTGAAGAGAATTCGAATGTTGTTTTTTCTTATGCTGGGTGAGTGAATCAGACGACTTCGAAACTGGTTTCAGGTGTGCCTTTCTGATTCTGGGTGGCTTTGACGTCTTCATCCGTGCTGTATGCAAGTAGTTGAAACGATACTTCCTAGCCAGATAATTGAAGAAGGTAACCTCTGTTAAAACTCTCGCATTGGTGGTGATTGGCGTTGGCTGTTACTGTTGTTATTGTTGTTGCATTTCGTTGGTTATCTTCATCACCTCCATCTTCTTTAGGTTCACATGCAGTCCTATCTTTGCTATCTGCCTCTCCTGCCAGTTTGTTGGTTTTGCTCCCATAAGTCTTCGAGTTTCTGTGACATTAGACATACATCATCTGAGAAATCCAGATCTTATTATTATTGATTCAGTGTTATTTAAACCTACATTATTGTTGCTAATAACACTAATTCATACATTTGGTTCCCTTGATAAATTTCGATAGAGAAAGAAAGACCAGATTTGCAGTATAAAATGATATCATTCTATTTCACTGGTTCTCATCAGCTGCAAACTACCTGAAATTACAATGGTTATAAATAATAACATTTCATACTTCATTGTTTGAAAGGTAATAGAGATAACATTATAAGATGAACGCATCCGGAATATAAGGATTAAAATTTACAGTTTAAGTTACCATCAATTTATATACTATCAAACTGTGAAAAAAGAAAAAGGGGGGGGGTGAGAGAAAACAGAAAACAGAAAAATCTAATAAACAGTGTCAACATGGCAACTCAACAAGGTCAAAGTTCATCAATTTGAAAACTTGCTTAGTGAGTTGAGCACACTAGTGTGTAATGAAAGTGACATGGTTACCAAGGGAGTGAGAGATTGACTACACTCTCTTTCTGTGTGCATAAGTTTGGTCTGAGACGTTTGATTGCAATTGCTTCAGCGAATCGTAGTAGATTCGCTGTCCTTTGTATGTCTAATATTTTGAAGGATTTGGAAATCTCGAGAAGATAGCCCGTATCCACAAGGTGTCTGGTAATTGCACTTTGTAAATATCTGCTTCCTTTTAAGCATAAGTTTCTCGGAATATGCTCTGAAAACCGGATAGAAGCCCTTCTTTCTGTCCTTCCAATGTTCTTACTGCCGCAAGTGCACGTAAATTTATATATGCAGTTGGAGGTAACATCAGCAGAGTACTTATCCAGTTTCGATTGGCTTATAGAGCATGTAGTACTGTATAGTGTCACCAGATTAGCTGCAGGGAAGCATCTCATTATTGTTCCTTTCATCCCCTTTTCAATCTTTTTCGATACTGTTTCTCCTTTGTATGGGAGGCAAATGAACACTTTCTTCTTTTCAACTGTTGGATACTTTTCTTTCTCATCCCTTTCTTTGCTGTACTTTAGGATAAATCCGTTTGGATACCCGTTTTCTTTAAGGCCTTAAAGAAAACGGGAATTGGAACACTAATTCATTCACTACTATTATGTATATATAAAACTAGAGAACTTGATGAAGAGCAGATTATCGAAAAGAATATTCTCTATTCTGTAAGCTTTCTTTTGAAGCAAAAAATTTTTTAATGGACATTTTTAATCAATTAATCAAAAAACTTACTTAATATATGAATATCAAATTGAGATTTAATTGTTTTACCATCATGTGATGTAAAAATACATTCAATAGGTATATGACTTGGTTTTGGATATGTTCTATAACCTCTAGGTGGTCGAATAAATGGTGTTTCAATTGCATGTATTACACTTAATATATTATCAATAGGCTTCAGGGGAACAATTTGAAGATATCCAATAGAATGTAGATTATTTATACTAATCCCACTGACAGTACATATTGGTTCAATATCATCTCCAACATAAAAGGTTAAATTCTCAGGATACATCAGTATATCTAATATAGAGGGGAATGTTAAAAAAATGCACTGTATCATTTATAGAGTAGTGATTATATACTACGATAATGATTCTATATATCGAAAGAAGACATCTGAACAACTTCAAAGATTGCTTGCTTCATATAATTTTTTTCCTTCACGTTCCCCAGTGGAACATAGGGCTCCAGTCTAGTGGCTTGAAGTTTCTGTGGCAGTGCTTATTATTTTACAGGATGGGGTTGCTAGCCTCATACCCAACCTTTCCTCTTCACCAGCATTATTTCTGGTTTAGTGAGGTAGAGGAGTGCCTCTGTGGCCGGGGATCGAACCCCAGACCATGTGCATGGTCGGCTAGCGTCCTAACCGCTATGCCACCGACGCAGCAAAGATTACTTGCTTCATATAATAGTAGAGTTTATTTCAAGCTCTATACTTCTTTAGAGAAAAATTTCGTGATTAAGAGTCAAAGATATGTTTCGCAAAATGACACAAAACAGAAAGTCCACGTGGAACGGACAGCTTACTAACTTTCACAGTTGGATACCTCTATACACCAAACGAAACCTGATCCACTCATTCAGCTACAGAGTTCGCAGAATTTGCACACCGGACACCATAGAAGATGAACTGGACAATCTCAAGAGAATCCCCGTCGAGAATTGTTATCCAGAACGACTTATTGCAAAATCTATGAATCCTAGACCACAAAAGCCATCCATGCGTAGTGTCCCGAAAAAACTACTCTACATGAACCTTTAATTCAATGGAGATATATCTATGGAAACACCACAAAATTGACTGTCACACTCACTTAAGAAGACCTTCTTCGCAGCTGAACTACGATTAAGCTTCTCCATAAAACCTATGATTCATGTGAACGTGAAGGATAAGCTACCACTGCTGACCTCATCAATGTGTATTTATCAATGCACCTGCTCGTGTGGAGCCAGGTGTGTCGGCCGTACCCAGCGTTCGCTTTCCAAACGTATCACTGAGCACTTACCAACATGGTTTTACAAAGGAGAAAATCGATGCCCCCGCAGCTCCATCTTAGAACATCTGATAGAATCCGGACACCTAGCTACACCCCAAACAAACTTCAACGTCGTCTACAGAAAACGAAGTAGTCTTTCTGAAGGTGTACGAATCAGACTTCTTCAAACTGCAGAAGCAATGGCGATTCACTTGCTAAATCCTGAACTCTGCATACAGAGGAAATTCGTTCAATCACTGCACTTGCAATGGACGTAATCTATCGTATTACCCGACAAGTAAATTCTACCTAATCCTTTTTTCTGTCTCCTCATTAGTATTATTTTGTCTTCTCAATTATAATATTTTACATTTTCAACCTTCTTGCTCTCTACCCCCACCCCATTTAATTTCTGCACCTAACTACCACTGTTACTGACTTGACCAACGCTCAGTTTCTAGTCAATCATATTGCGTCATCTAGCTTACTAACTCAATCTTACTTTAGTTGCTGTCTGATTAACTTTGTCTCTATACTACATCATTCTTGTATTACCTGAACAATTATCTAAACTTGACAAACCTCATGTAAACACAAACACAAAAATAATTATATATAAATGCGATTGTACAGCTATGTGAATGAATTCGCCGTCAAAAGAGTCTCTTCGCTGAACGTCTTCTCTTTTTCATATGACTCAATGGGGATTTTTAAGCTACTCGAAACAACTGTGTCTATAGGATAAAATGCCTCTCTTCAGTAGAATCCAACAAATATGCACTGAAGACATATTTCATGATAAAGAAAGAAAGTTGACACAAACACTGACTGATAATAATTATCCAGACAAGTTCATAAGGAGATATAAAATGGTCAGTGGAACCCCAAAATCCACTTTCCAACTCGTAACTAAGAAAGACGTTTATATCAAGCTACACTATATAGGAAGTTAAAGTAAGACGACAGTGATTGAATGCTGTGGTTAAAAAGACTTTATGCAGCTCAGATCACAATAATTGATAATGTGAAGTCCACATATCCATCTGAACCCTTAGAATATATGAAAAATTATGTCATATCCTCCTACTGTATTTAACAGATTAAATGTAATTGTGGACACATATACATATGGAATACTCTTCAATCTCCGGAAGTAAATTAGGACTTCAGATCACATTCTTAAATGTTTTCAAGAGCAAACTGAATCTCTAGAACGCATTACTAGTCAAAACAGCCGACTTAGCTCTTCTACTGAGAAATGTATTTTTTTTATTTATTTTCTTTTTTTTATTTTCGTTTACAGCTTGACTCCACACAGTACTTTTGGTAGAAGTATGGAATTTTCAGCATGGATATCGGTAGCCCAAATTTTACAGGCCGACCATAGATATCGGGTGTGCGTCGGCAGGTAATCGAACCCCGGACCATGTGCATGGTTGGCGGGAGTCCTAACCACTGTGCTACCGACGCACAGAACATAAAATTGATGTTTACACGTCTTTTAAACCTATCTGTAAAGTGTATTTAACGCGTATCCTAAGGTTTATGAAAGCTCTCTCTGTCCACACATAAGTTAAAGCCACATTTATGCGTTCAAAAACAATTCGTCATTACACAAAACCACCTTCCTTGGTAAATTTTTGGTTTTGGTATCAGGTTGGATGTAGTAGTATTGAATTCCCTCTTCAGTCCATCGGTCTCAACTGTTATTTTGATCTTCAGAATTTCTTTTGATAAATCTGAGCAGAAAAAGAACAAACATTGGGGGCAGAAGAACATGAAGAATCCATTTTATTTCGTTGGTTCTCTTCAGCTGCACACAGCCTAGACACTTTTTATAAATACAAGTCAGTGCAACAGGCATTTTGTAAAAGCATTATAGTGAGATAAAACATCAGGATGATAAGTTTACTGCAGTAATATATTATGGACATATAAATTTTGTTATTATAAAGAGGAATTTCTTGAAAAACTTATTCATAAATTTACTGCTATGGTGGTAACAAAAAGTTAGTAAAATAGTTAACTAAGAGAAAAGAAGGCGTTCAGCCAAGAGACTCTTTTCGGCGAATTCATTCACTGAGCTGTACAATCGCATATATATACAATTTTGCTTGTGTGTGTGCACATTAGATCTATAAAGATTGGATAGTTATGTAATATAAGCATTATTTGGCTTGGAGACAAACGTTAACATAGAAAATAAAATAGACTTGATTAAGTGGTCTGGATGACGTGATACAATGTTAGTGAGTGGTGGTTAAAATTAAACAAGGGTAGGGGTAGAGAATAATACAGTTGAAAATAAGTAAGTTAATCGGATGACGTAACATAGTTGACTAGAAATTGGACGTGGGTCAAGTTAGCAACATTGTTAATGAGGGTAGAGATTACAAAAGGGTGAGGTAGAGAATAATATAAATGAAGATGTGAAATAATAAAATGCAAAAGACAAAATAATACAATTAGTAAGACTGAAATTAAGAAAGATTACGTCCATTGTAGATTTAATGAATGAACGAATTTTTTTTGTATGCAGAGTTCAGGATTTAGCAGATGAATTACCATTGCTTCTGCGATGTGGAGAAGTTTGATCCGTACACTTTTAGCAAGATTGCCTTGTATTCTGTAGATAACTTTGAAGTTTATTTCTGGTTTGACTTGGTGTCCAGAATCGATCAAATGTTCAAGGATCGAGCTGCGGGAGCATCGGTTTTCTTCTTTATAAAACCATGAAGTTAAATGTTCGTTGACGCGTTTGGATAGCGAACGCTGAGCAAGGCCGATATACCTGGCTCCACACGAGCAGATGAATTGGTAGATGCACATAGATGAGGCCAACAGCGGTAGCTTATCCTCCACGTTCATACGAATCATTGGTCTCATGGAGAACGTCAGTCGTAATTCAGCTGCAAAGGAGGTTTTCTTCAATGAGCGGGAGAGCCGATTTCTCAGTATTTCTGTAGATTGGTCTCCATTGAACTGTAGGTTCATATAGAGAAGTCTTTCTGGAGCACTGGGTGTGGGCGGCTTCTCTGGTCTGGGTTTCATTGATTTTGTGATAAATCTTTCTGGATAGCCATTTTCAAGGAGGATTTTCTTAATAGTGTTCATTTCATCTTCTATGGCGTCCAGGCTGCAAATTCTACGCATTCTGTGGCTTAGTGAACGGATTAAGTTTCGTTTAGTATATAGAGGCACCCAAGTGTGGAAGTTAGTGAGTTTTCCGTTCCACGTTGGCTTTCTGTAATGGCTTTTCTTTTTAATGTCCTGTCTTGTTGGCGTCTCGTTAGCTGAACGTCAAGAAAAGATATCTTTGAGTTAGATTCTTTCTCCAGTGTAAACTGAATCGCAGGGTGGCAGTTGTTGAAGAACTTCAGGATATCTTCTAAATTCTCTTCGTTGTTGCAGATGATGAAGGTGTCGTCGACGTATCTCTTGTAGAGTTCAAAGTTGTCAATCATATTCTTTAGGCAGGTGTTTTCGAGTTTCGACATAAAGAAATCCGCAAGCAGAGGACCTAGTTGTGAGCCCGAAATTTGGTGTGTTCAAGAGGTCAAATGAAAAGATGCTGAGGCAAATATCATAAGGTCAAGAAAAATTACCTCTTATAGGGAAGTCATAGGGGAAAGTAGAGGGTGGGTTAGAAAGATTTTCTAATGAAATTAGAAAGAAAAGAGTTATAACAGGATGAGTTATCACTCTAACACAGAAATAAAATGAGTCCTCCATGTTATTCTGCACCAATATTTATTCTTTCTCTACTTTAGTATCTTCTTTTAACTTGACCTAGATCTGTTTTTGATGATAACAAGCCCATTTGTGTGTGTGATCAGATTGTTCAAAATAAGTATGTTACACAAGTACATGACACGATTCAGACAAATTACGCCTTCTTAATGCTTTATCTAAATTCATAAATAGAAAGAGTTGTTTCATATTATATCGACATGGATCTCCGGCAATCAACGAACCAACCCATCAGGAACCAATTGTACAGTAAATATGCAGGAAGAAATGGAAGTGTATAGGAGCCCATACTCTGAGAAAACAAACCATCAAGTGAGTGACATCACATGCCACGTCATCGCTCAAGTGGAACCCAATTGGGAGGCGGCGAGTTACTTGGTAATCAGTGCGAGGGTGACATGGAGGAGAAGGAGGTCATGGGAAGGGGAGGTGAAATCATGTAAGCAGACGTGGAGCCAGGTGAAAAATGCTGGTGGGGAACCAAACGCGATGGCGAAGTCCAGCTGAAGCCCTATGTTCCTTTAGGAACTAAAGGAGATAATATATACAATATTATAGTTTTGTCAACGACAAAAACAACCAAACACGTTTAGATTATACAAGATAAAGTATATACATACAACGGATAGAGTAAAACAGTGTAGACATTAATAAAAAATAAATCAATAAATTATTCACCTACCTAAAATGGTAATACGTTTATGAAGAGCAAAATCTGGTTGATGATTTTTAAAGGGTATTAAATAACAATAAATATCAACTTGACCACTTCTTATATATACATCACTATCAAGTGGTGGTCCGATAATTGTTTTATGATAACAATTTTTAATTGATACAATATTAGATGTTATTGATTCTGTGTCAGCGTAATCTGCATGCCAATAGCCATATTCATTATATTTATATAAATCTGGTTTCAAGTCACAATCAAATGTATCATTTGAGCCAACCTTTAAAAGGATATCATGAAGACCACTTGCTTTGTATGAAGCGCATATTTCATCTCCTGTTGATGAGAAAAATGAAATGTTTGAAAAAGTAAAATAATTTATAATAATAATAATATTGTGAAATATTTTGATCGATATTCGGTGACTCTAAGCTACAGCAGCCCAAAAATAGTACTACTTGATGAACAGACAAATAACCTTGACAAAATCTCTATCTACCAATCAGACGCGTCCGAAGCAAAAATGCATAATTTGAAATATATATATATATAAGTAATGCAATGATTAAAAAAATACTTATATACGATCTTGTATATGCTCCCAGATTATTATTATTATTTCCTTTAATTCCTAGAGGAACATAGGGCTTCAGCCGCGCGTCTCCACTGCATTTGGTTCTCTGCTAGAGTTTTCACCTGGCTCCACGTCTGCCCACATGCTTTCATCTCCTCTCCTCCCATGACCTCTTCCTCCATGTCACCTTCTCACTGATCACCGACTAAGTCACCGCTTCGCATTCGGGTTCCACTCGAGCGATGGCCTGACGTGTGATGTCACTTGATGGTTTCCTCAGAGTATGGCCTCCTATCCACCTCCTTTTGTCCCTGCATATTTCTTGCACAATTGGCTTCTGCTGGGTTGGTTCGCTCACAGAGATCCCTCAGTGTTGCTGATCTACTCTGGCCGGACATCTGATCTTTAGTATCGAGAGAAGACAGTTGTTGATGAAGGTCTGTAGTTTGTTTGAGATGCTCTTTATGACGCGCAGTGCAAGTCTCTGATCCGTATAGCAAGTGGCACTGACTGACTTCACATTGGAGTTGAAAATCCGGATCTTATTTTCATTTTCATGCTGAGTGCTGTTGACCTCCACACAGACTTGACGTGAGTAGTGAAAGCTTGTCTTGCTTTCCCGATTCTTGCTTTGATATCCTCGTCAGTTCCGCCTGTAGTTGAAACGATGCTTCCCAGGCAGGGTAGGTAAAAGAGGTTGTTTCTTTCAGGTTCATCCCATTTATGCTGATTGTTGTCTGTTGTTGTTGTTGGTGGTCGTGTTGCCCAGGAATCTTCATGACCTATCTCTATTTTCTCTCTGTTCACTTGAAGGCCTGTCTTCTCTGGATGCTTCTTCTACTAACTTGTTGCTTTTCACTTGCATATCTTCGAGTTTGTGGGAAATCAGACACATATCACCGGCGAAGTCTAGATCCTCCAAGTATATTGTGTGGATCCATTTTATGCCTGTTTCCTCATTGCCCACTGTCTGTCGCATTATCCAGTCTACTGCAATCAGGAAGATTATTGGCGATAGTAGGCAACCTTCTTTCACTCCCGTCTTCACTTCTTCGAAGGATTCCGTGAGTTTCCCGTTGACATTCCTGTTACTTGGCATGCATCGTTGTCGTCCAACTGTTGGATGAGATGTATAATTGTTGGCGACACCCCATTTGCTTCAAGAAGATCCCTCAATTTCTCAAAGAAGTCCTCATAGTAGTTAGGTTCAACCAGTTCATGGACATAAATTCGTCAAGATCACCGTAAATAATCGTGTTTCTAGACCCATTCACCACTCTGACTTTCTCTCTTTTTGAGGTGAATGCAAAGAGTTTTCATGGAATTTGTGTGAGTACTATCGAAAGGATTGACAAAATTATTTGAATGACTGATCACTTTGTGAATATAGCCCAATGGTTACAGTTAACCACAGCTACTCCATTGATCTTTGTGAATTGTTGTGCCAGGCATGACTAAATGTTAGATATGAGGCAATAAAACATTGGCATTGAGGTCAGGGATCATCTGGATATATCTTTTATCGCTCTGTGGTGTCAAATAATCTCGATAGCCACTGTTGATTGTCAATCAATCTACCTGGATTATATTTCTTTTTTTAAAAGGATTGTCTCATCCACATGAACAACGATATCAATGCCACCAAGTATTTGCATCAGATCGTTCATTTTCCATGACGTTATATCTCTTTAGTACTGATAGAACTGAACTGCAGGCACTTCTAAATTTTCTGTTTCGAAAGCTCTTTATCTCTGTCACTAGTCTTTTTAGGATCCAGTTATGATGCATCATTATTTTCGCTAGAGGCAACTTTGACTTAACGAAGAAAGTATCTACAGTATGCATAAGCTAAAATAAAAACGGCATACCTTCTCAAACTGATTTCCTATTTCGACAATCTTCGAACCTGTGGACAAATCTATCAGTCCATTGGGTGAACGGTAATAGCAAATGCATCACACTTCTACATCTACACGTTTTATCCCCCCTTCTATGAGTCTGTTTTTCAAAGAGCAACTGAATACTAGATTTGGATGAAATTTGTTACGTAATTCATGTGCAGCATCCATAATTAAGCCTATATATTACGAAGTCATCTGATTGGCTACTTAAGGTCATTTATCCGTTCATTGGATAGTTTCATTTTGTGCTGTTATAGTTTGGAGTCACTAGATAGTCATTTAACTTCAAAGTACACATCAGCATGCCCACGAAGTTAATTAGTTAGCCAGTGTAAGCTGTTATATATAGAAAGGCATAATAAATTTTTCGTCCCAATTCAGAAATTTCTAGTAGTCTGCACTCTCTCTCTGTCTTAGACACTTAAGTTACAAAAATTAAATGCTAAATCCCCAAGGTTTGCAATAAGCTGTTCGAATCAATAAAATAAGTTGTCAGTCAAAACTTGTACCTTGCTCACAAGATAGTATATGTGAATAAGCAGAAAATAGCATTTGTCAAATATTTTCTTATGATTATAGTAGATAATTGATCACAAAAATTACCATCCAGACATTGATAACAAATAAAACATGTAGTTCAGCGAACACGGTCTTTTCCACAGTGAATTCATCTTCCCCTCTAGAGCTGTACAATCACATTTATATACAAACTCTTTTTCAAAAAAGATACCACTTTTGGCCACTTCAATGTGTATTTATCAATTCACTTGCTCGTGTGGAGCAAAGTATATCAGCCGGACGCAACGTCAAGTCCACAAACGTATTCTGGAACACTGCCCAGCTTGGTTAGCCAGAGGAGAAAAGAAGAATAGCAACAGCTCGATCCTCGAACACCTTGTCATCTCCGGACATCGAGCCCCTCCACATGAATGCTTCACAGTATTACACAGAGTCCCTCAATATCGTACAAAGGGACTTCGAACGCACCATCTGTACATAGCTGAAGCATTAGTTATTCGAGATGTGAAACCGGACCTCCGCATTCAAAAGCGATGCATACATTTTCTTACCCTACCATGGCTAGAGAAAAGTTTCTTACTACAATTTTGCTTCTTTCCTTTATTATGTAAGTTCACTATTATTATTATGGATACTTTTATTATCATTATTATTCCCATCATCCACATTTTATTACCACTCTATTACTGTTTATTAATAACATTGCTTTTTCATACAGATTTTATACAAAAACACTTTATAGCCTTTCCACTAGTTCCTGTCCATTCTACACAAGCTTATTGATTAGTCATTATCTCACACTTATTACGTCATGCCAACTTCTGTCTCCTTTCTAACTTACAATTAGTCATCCCTTCTTACACCTTACATTATGTAATACAATTTTTCAAGGACAAAGTTTACCAGTATCTGATTGGTCTAAAGATTTCTTTGTTTAATATAATTACGATTGTACAACAGCTCATGAAAATGAATCGTCGGAAAGAAAATTTTCTTCGCTGTTTGTGCCTTTTTCTAATGACTCAATATGGGAATATTTCGTTCATTGAATTACGTAAGAGTTCTAAAGAAATACAAACACCGTTTACGGTAAACTAACTAACGTTTTTTAAGCCATTTTTATACTTTTGTGAGTAGCCCACCATATTGACCGAATATAACGCAACCCTCAGTTCTTACGCTCATTTTCAACAAATTCAAACAATAATGGTGCCTAGGATTATGCCATATAAACTGTTTTAACTTATGCAGAGTGTACCTACGGTCAATATTCCATTATCTTCCAATATATATATATCTTGTGTTAGTGAAAAATTAAAAAAATGTTTACTTTATGTGTGCATTATTATCATATTGATGATGCCTGTCAGCTGGAGTCCCTCATGTGCATAAAGTGAGAATATATTATTGTTAGACGTATTTTATTGTTTTATGAAGGAATTGACTTCAAGCTTTATTTATTTTCCCAAGTATCTGTAATCCATCCAACGCAAACTTGCCGTATTCAGGTAGGTAGTTACCTGGGGTTCTAGTGAGAAGTCGTGACCAGTAGGGTGCAGCAGGTCGGGTGTGAGGACAAATACTCGCCGAAGACATTGGCTAGCGGTCGCGCTATGTCGTGAATTGGCAGAAGTTATAATTCATGGGCCATTGGATCGGGTCCCAGTGGCTTAATGGTATACGAGCTCGCCTTGTAACCAGAAGGTCCTGGGTTCGAATCCCGGTGGGTGCGTACTGCTGAAGAGTCCCAAACTACGACGAGACAGCTGTCCAGTACTCCCAGGTTTTCCAATGGTTCTCTAACTAATGTCAGCTCATGATGAAAATCCTGTAAGCAAACTTGGGTTTTTTATGTTAATGCGAAGTCAATATCTCTATATTTCTTGATGTGTTCCATTGAATCACTAGTTATCAGATTTTTCCCACAAACTAAAGATAAAATGACAACAACCATGTTATTTAACCGTAAATCATGTAATTTAAATATGTAACTTAAATAATAGTTATTCATGACTATACAACTTGTGTGTCCTACATTTGTAGGAATAAATATGTACCTTATTATATTATCATTACTAACTATACTTACTAATCGTATGTGTAATTTATCGATTTGACGATGCCTGTAAACTGGCGTCCCTCATGTACAAAAATGAGAATATATTATTATTAAAAGTTATAAGGAGTTCGAAACACAAAAAAAGACACACAAATATCAAGTCAATAGGAGTCAACAAGGTTGTTGCCATGATAGTAAGAGTGTTTGAATAATTTCTTTTTGTATACATAACTCTGGTCTTTACAACTGAATAACTAAGGCCTCAGAGGAGGCTAAAGCCTTT